ACTACTTGAACAGATGTCCCAAGTTACCACACACCGCACACCAATCTAGCAGCCTCTTATTTCACCCTAAAGATCTCCCTGTGAAGCACATCTTTCTTCCTTATGACCAACGGATAAACGTTCTTAAGCGGCTTTGTGACATCAAGCTTTATCCTTACATGGACAAAATTCCCTTCGAAATCTTGCGATTTTGGTTCAGCATAGATGAATTCTCCACTATTGACGATAGTGCCTTGACTTTGGAGAAAAAGCCATCCGGTAGATCATGGATTTGCATCCATATATCAATCTTATCGAGCTCCACTAATGATGGTTTTGTGAAGCCATCATATCGGGCAAGAACAACTGCTTTACCTTTGAAAGTTCATGGCCCTTCCTTCATAACTTGTTCCCAATCGTCGAGACAAGAAAACTGCATGGTGTATAGGTTGTCCTCAAGTGGTCGGATCTTCACCTCCTGAGCCAGATCCCAAGCGCCCTCATGTTCTTGTAGAACCAGTATTGGTTGTAGGTTTTGTCGGTGTAAACCCTAGCGACCACCATCCATCTAGTGGCCTCCTCCGACAGCTCAGTATCCTCGATCACCACATCCTCAAGGCCGTCCTCCTTCAATCCCAATTCTTCCATCATTGCCTCGAGATCGGATGTGCCAGAACCCGAGTTCACCGCAACTTTCGCCATTATTCCTCTAGCCCGTGGTTTCAGTCCGCGGGAGGTAGGGGCCCCAACGATCCCGTTCCCCAAACCCCTGCTAGGTCCTGACGGCCCCGACAGTCCGGCGTGGAGGGGGGAGTAGAGGGGAAACGGATCTCAATGATGGTGAACGAAGTCGCCGCCGAGAGGAGAGAGAACCCTAACGAGGGGGGAAACTGACATCCATTAGTTGACAAGAGTATTAGATAGATAGATAGCTTTAGGCTGTCTAGGCCTATTCAGCCAAGACGGGTTTCGTATGTTCAATTCCCCCACGTGACACGGGAGGAAAATCAGCAGGTTAGCATTTGAGACTACAAATCACTCACTCTCTCCATCCAGGTCGACCTCCCAGTGTTATCCGATAAGTGCTACGACGTTGATAAATTTTCTACATATATGATATCTGTCGTTATCCACCCACCAGGACAAATGCAATAATGCTACATATACGATAAATTTTCTACACATTAAATCTACGGAGGTGACATGGGGCACCCCATGGCCGGTTTTCAAGGACCAATAAAAACAGGACATATCAGCCTGTAGATTAACTCTGTAAGAAAATCCCACAAATCTACTCCCTCCATTCCGAATTACTTGTACATCCGTATCTAGACAAATCCAAGACAAGTAATTCGGAATGGAGGGAGTAGCATTTTTTGGATAAATCTAAATTTATACGACATTTCAGGCTGGCCGAGAGAGTGACATTTGAGGCTGGAATCGCAAGCTCGATCCATCCCCGTCGTCGTCATGCCATCATTGCAAATCGTTAACCCAGCACGTGCTGCATTGTGCACCATGATATAATGGGCCTGGGACGAGGCGATTTCTGTGCAGCAGACAGCACAGTGCCACAGTGCCACAGCGTGCGTGCGTGCTCTCGTCGACCGACCTCTGGCCATGGGTGCTCTTCGACGTCAACAATGGCTCAATGCCGCATTTGTGCTCGCCGTGCTGCTCCTCGCCCAGGCGGAGGCGCGCGGGGTGACGAGCGCGTACCGGCGGAGGCTGGAGGCGGCCGAGGACATGCCGCTGGACGCCGACGTCTTCGCCGTGCCGCCCGGGCACAACGCGCCCCAGCAGGTGCACGTCACGCTGGGCGACCAGGCCGGCACGGCCATGACTGTGTCGTGGGTGACGGTCGACGAGGTCGGCAACAGCACCGTCATGTACGGCCGCGCCATGGGCAGGCTCGACATGGCGGCCGAGGGCACGCACACGCGCTACAAGTACCACAACTACACCTCCGGGTTCATCCACCACTGCACGCTCACCAACCTTGAGGTGAACTCACTCACACACATAATCACTAGTGCTCACTAGTGTAGGTTTTCGCCCGGTTTTTCTTAAATTAAGTGGGCAATTCTCTTTTTCTTAATTAATCGAAGAGGCAAAAATTTTGCCTCCGTTTCGAAAAAAAAATTCACTCACTAGTCACCACTAAATTATTATTTTCACTTTCCTAGTTAGTTAAGATTTTTATTAATAGTATTATGCTCCTTTATTTTTAAGATCTCTTTGGTCATTTGGGCAGGGCCATTCCAGGCCTAAAAGCATGTACAATCACAGTGGGCTAATTTGGCCTCCTATATGTCCGCAAAGGCGCAAACGCATTCGGTCGCGTTCACTTTGAGTCCTTATTTGTCCTGCACACAATCATGCCTTTCAAATTGTCCGGATATGTATATGGTTAGTGAAAATGGTTCATGGTCCCATCAGGCAGAGAAAATAAAGAACAAAAGATGAGAAAAAAAATGGTCTAGCATGAGCCAAATCTGATGTGGCGGACGAGACACCCTCCCCATATATAGGTTGGGTTTGCGGGTTTCCAATGCGGGGAGAGTCGGACATTGGCTGAGCTGTCTGTCCGAACATATATGGACATATATGCACATAATAATTTTGTTACTACACACTATACTTCCTCCGTCCTCTAGAATAAGGCGTGTAAATTTTAAGTTCACAAAAAGAATCAACAACTAAAATATTAACCAGGTATAGTATAAAAATATATTTGACTATATTTTTTTCCAGACTATTTGACTATGTATTTAGTGATATTAATTTTATTTTACAGTTGTTAATATTTTTTGTACAAACTTGATCAAACATGCACCGTTTGACTTGAGACAAAATTTATAGGCCTTTTCTGAAACAACGAGTACATGATTAGCCAGTAATTACTATGTCCAAAAATTACTAAATACCCACAAAAGAATAATAGACCCTGTTTGCGAGAATACTGAAGTATGAACCACAAATCAATATGGGGTAGCTAGTAAGCAATGTATTGGAAGAAAAATATGAATGTATCTTGCAACACAACATTAAAATTTGCATAATGCATGCAAGTTTTCCCATGAGAGATATTACAACTTTAGCATTAAGAAGATTATTATTAGAAAAATATTGCCTCCGTTTCAAAATTAAGATATTTTTGTAGGCTAGCGGTAGTATATTATTTTTACTTTTGGGGACATTCATCTTCAATCATGGCAGTACAACAAACACCAGAAATAAAAATTACATCTAGATCCATAAACCACCTAGCGACAACTACAAGCACTGAAGCGAGCCGAAGGCGCGTCGCCGTCATCGCCCCACCATCGCTGGAGTCGGGCACAACTTGTTGTAGTAGACAGTCGGGAAGTCGTCGTGCTAAGGCCCCATAGGATCAGCGCACCAGAACAGCGACCGCCGCCGATGAAGAATAACGTAAGTCAGAAGGATTCAACCTGAAGACACATGAACATAGACGAACAACCACGAGATCCGAGCAAATCCAGCAAAGATAGATCCGCCGGTGTTGGACGCACCACCGGGGCTGGGGCTAGGCAGGGAGACCTTTATTTTATCTTCAGGGAGTCGCCGCCGTCTCGCTTTGCTGAGCAGGACACAAACCTTAACAAGACTGACACAAACGACTAAAAACGAAGCCCTCTCGCTGGCCCTTGCCAGGATCCACCGCACCTCCATGGCCCTAGGGTCACCGGAGACGAGGCCGGCCTACGGCGGCAAGAGGCAGGAACTCTAGCGGTAGTATTACTACAACTGTGATATGATAAAAGATAAGTTATAAAAATTCAGTATAAATGTTTTATTTGTTTGGACTCACTCCAGGTTTAACTTTTGACTTGGGACAATTCGAAAACTTTAATTATTTTGGAACGGAGGAAGTATGTCTTTAGACCAAATATACTACTACAGAAATTTGAGTGACTTTACGTTAATTGTTTTTGAGAAACTTGTAACTTGCAGCATGGCACCAAGTATTACTACGCCATGGGCTTCGGCCACACGGTGCGGACCTTCTGGTTCACTACCCCTCCCAAGCCCGGCCCGGACGTACCCTTCCGGCTGGGCCTCATCGGCGACCTGGGCCAGACGTCCGACTCCAACAGCACACTGACCCACTACGAGGCCACCGGTGGTGACGCCGTGCTCTTCATGGGCGATCTCTCCTACGCCGACAAGCACCCCCTCCACGACAACAATCGTTGGGACACGTGGGGCCGCTTCTCCGAGCGCAGCGTCGCCTACCAGCCATGGATCTGGGTCACCGGCAACCACGAGGTCGACTACGCACCGGAGCTTGTAAGTAAATACATGGATGCAATTCGATCGACCATCTGTATGTTCTTGTTGATATGTGTATTATAATTCAGCCAATCATGACATGGCCGTTGTTTGCATGCATGGTTGCAGGGAGAGACGGCGCCGTTCAAACCCTTCAGCCATCGGTACCCGACGCCGCACCGGTTGAGCGGCTCGCCGGAGCCCTACTGGTACTCGGTGAAGCTCGCGTCCGCGCACATCATCGTACTGTCCTCCTACTCCGCGTTCGGCAAGTACACGCCGCAGTACAAGTGGCTGGAGGCGGAGCTGAAGCGCGTGAACCGGAGCGAGACGCCGTGGCTGATCGTGGCGTCGCACTCGCCGTGGTACAACAGCTACAACTTCCACTACATGGAGGGCGAGCCGATGCGCGTGCAGTTCGAGCAGTGGATCGTAGAAGCTAGGGTTGACTTCGTCTTCGCCGGGCACGTGCATGCATATGAGCGTAGCCACCGGGTGTCCAACATCAAGTACAACATCACAGACGGGAGGTGCAAGCCGGTGCGGGACCGCCGTGCGCCCGTGTACATGACCATCGGCGACGGTGGCAACATCGAGGGGCTTGCCGACAGCATGACGGAGCCGCAACCGAGCTACTCGGCGTTCCGGGAGGCTAGCTTTGGGCATGCCTTGCTGGACATCAAGAACCGCACGCATGCTTACTACGCCTGGTACCGCAACGCCGACGGCGTCAAGGTCCCCGCCGACACCATGTGGTTCACCAACCGCTACTACATGCCCAACCACGACGACTCTCGTTGATTCGTTTCCATGTTATCAAGCATATTATTACTTACTGATAATAAGGCTGATGGATTTGTTGCCATATATGTATGTGTGTATTTACTTTCACAAAAATGATGTATAAACAACTCCTAATTCATATGGTTGAATAATCTTTATGATATAAATGAGACACGTATTACCATGCAAAAAAAAGCTATAAGGAGGACCGTCGGAAGGAATGAGTGCATTGATATGGAACTGCCGGGGTGGGGGGAACCGCCGGACAGTTCGTGAGGTCTTGGCCCTCTCAAAAGCCAATTCCCCGGGGCTTATTTTCCTGTCAGAAACAAGATAAGCCTCATGTAAGATGGAGAAGTTGAAGTGGAGACTGCAGATGAGAGGTTTTGTGGGTGTGTCTAGTGAGGGTCTCAGTGGGGGACTCGCACTTTATTGGGATGAAAGGCTGCAGGTAACGGTGTTGGATTCGTGTGCACGGTACATTGACGTGCGAAAATTGTCGACAATGCAAATGATAAGTCATGGAGAACAACTTTTGTCTATGGTGAGCCAAGAGTGGAGAACCGCCATCGCATGTGGAGCTATATCTCTAACTTACGAGCGGTGTCGGAGGAACCTTGGTTGGTATGCGATGATTTTAACGAGGCAATGTGGCAACATGAACACCTCTCACGCTCTGTACGGTCAGAAAATCAGATGTTGATGTTCAGGGATTGTCTATTGGCATGCGACCTGATGGACCTCGGCTTCACAGGGATTCCGTTTACCTATGATAATGGCCAGTTGGGTGACAGGAATGTTAAAGTCAGATTGGATCGAACGTGTGCAGATGAGGCTTGGAGAGAGCTATTTCCAGCCACACAAGTGCTGCACTTAGTGTCATCATGCTCAGACCATAGTCCAGTGTTTATACAGTTATCAAGTGTAGACCCGCAACAGGCGAGGTCAGCACCAAGGTACGAAATCATGTGGGAGCGACATCCAGCACTAGCGACAGTAGTGGCTGAGAGATGGAAGAAAAGCAAACCGGCCGGAAACCTTGGTGCAATCAGGGATGCGCTAAAGGAAATGATGGCCGAACTGCGATCTTGAAGTAAGGAAAACTTCGGCCATGTTACTTCTGAATTAGAGAAACTGCGGGCTGACCTTGAGGATCTAAAGCTTCGTGATGCTGACCGGATGTTAATTAGGCAGAAAATGCACCAACTTGATGAACTCCTCTACCGTGAGGAGATGCTCTGGCTGCAAAGGTCTCGGATTACTTGGCTCAAGGAGGGGGGGCGTAATATGACGTATCTGCACCGCCGGGCTGTATGGCGAGCTCGCAGGAATTACATACAGCGGCTGCGGAGGTCGGATGGATCGTGGAGTACCACGCCATTGGCCATGGAGCTGATGGCTACGTCGTACTTTAAAGAAGTGTTCACAAAGGACCCTACTCTGGAGTCCACGGGTGTGCTGGAAGGGATCGTGCCAAAGGTAACACAAGCTATGAATGATAGTTTGTGTGCTCAGTTTACAGAAGAGGAAGTTTCGAATGCCTTGTTCCAAACCGGACCTCTGAAAGCACCTGGGACCGATGGATTTCGGGCTAGATTTTACCAGCGTAATTGGGCTGTGATGAAAACTAAAATAGTGGCTGCTGTGTTGGAATTTTTAAAGACTGGGATAATGCCGGATGGAGTGAACCACACTGCTATAGTCCTAATTCCGAAGGTTCCACATCCAAAGGAGCTAAAGGATTTTAGGCCGATAAGCTTGTGTAATGTTGTTTATAAAATTGTGTCAAAATGCTTGGTGAATCGCCTTCGACCAATGTTATCGGATCTCATTTCTGAAAATCAGAGCGCGTTTGTGCCTGGTCGCCTTATTTCTGACAACTCTATAATAGCGTTTGAGTGCATTCACCATATTCAGTCTATGAAGCACAATGAGCCGGCTGCGTGTGCATATAAACTTGATCTCTCGAAGGCGTATGATCGTGTGGATTGGGATTTTTTGGAGCAAGCGTTGTCTAAATGGGGGTTTTCAGCTCTATGGATTTCTTGGATTATGGCTTGTGTTAAGTCTGTGAAATACTCTGTCAAATTTAATGGGAAATTGCTGCATGGTTTTACCCCTTCCAGGGGTCTTCGGCAAGGTGATCCACTCTCCCCATTCCTCTTCCTATTTGTTGCTGACGCCTTGTCTGCTCTCATCTCAAAGTCAGTGAATGAAGGGGATCTGAAGGGGGTCACCATATGTAGAAGGGCGCCAGTTATTTCTCATCTCTTGTTCGCGGATGATACTATGTTGCTTTTTGAAGCGTCGGCTCAGCAGGCAAGGATTGTTAAGGGTTTGTTGAACACATACACTAGAGCGACGGGTCAACTCATCAACCCGGAAAAGTGTTACATCCTTTTTTCTGATAATTGTCTTGAGTCGATGGTGGACGAAATAAAAGGCATTCTGGAGGTAACGCTACAGGTTTTTGAACCCAAGTATTTGGGGCTGCCAGTGCCTGAAGGAAGATTACATAAGGGACAATTCGAGACTGTTCAAGAAAGGTTGAGAAAGAGGCTGGTGGATTGGAGGTGAACAATATGTTTCGTCCGGTAACAAAGAAATCTTGATAAAGGTTGTGGCCCAGGCAATACCTACCTATGTCATGAGTGTATTTAGATTGCCGGCTTCTGTCTGTGATGACCTTACAAAAATGATGAGGCAGTATTGGTGGGGGATAGAGCATGGAAAGAGAAAGATGGCATGGCTAAGTTGGGAGAAAATGAAGTTACCAAAAGCAATGGGGGGCATGGGATTTAGAGACATGCGTGCGTTCAATCAAGCCTTGCTGGCTAAGCAACCATGGCGGCTACTAGATACCCCGGAGAGCTTGTGTGCTCGGTTGCTTCGAGCCAAATACTTCCCTCATGGAAATTTATTGGATACTGTTTTTCCCTCTAGCTCCTCGGCGGTGTGGAAGGGGATCATGCATGGGCTAGCATTGGTGAAGCAGGGGATAATTTGGCGTGTGGGTAATGGTACTTTGATCAAAGTATGGAGAGATGCCTGGATCCCGCGGGGCCATAACTTCAGGCCGATTACCCCTAAAAGAAATTGCAGATTTAATTGGGTCGCTGATTTCATCAATGAGCATGGTGCATGGAATGTACAGAGACTCTAGGAACATTTTTGGGAGATGGATGTCCGTGAAATCCTAAAGATTCGTACATCTCCAAGGAATGGTCAGGACTTCCTAGCCTGGTTCCCAGAGAGGAGTGGCCAGTTTACTGTCAGAAGTGCATACCGTTTGGCCTCTGAAAATCAGGGCGAAACCGCGACGCTGGGGGTGTCCAGCAGTAATCCGTCAGGTCGTAGACCTATATGGCAGCGCATCTGGTCTGCTCAAGTGCCCCTCAAAATGAAGATCATGGCCTGGAAGGCTGTCTCGGGTGCTCTAGCAACGAATTCTTGCAAGAAGTTTCGCCATATACCCACTCGGGATACTTGCCCTCTGTGCGGGCGTGAAGAGGAAACAAGTTTCCATGCCCTGGTTGCATGCGAGCATGCACGTAATATCTGGGCAAAGATGAGCATTGTCTGGCCTCTGCCGAAGCAGGAGATGCTCGTGGATTCAGGAAAGGACTGGTTACTGAATATCTTGGCAAACTGCACGGATTTGATGAGGGGTTGTGTGATAATGCTGGTATGGAGGATTTGGTCTCAAAGATCAAATTTTACCCATGGGAAGGAGATCCCAAATGTAACTGGGTTGATTACCTACAAAGTTATTTACGCTCCTTGAGGCTGGACCGAACATACACGATTGATGAAATAATCAAGGGTAAAATGCCTGCAATGGAGACTGAGGCCGTTGCTACAAACCGAGAAGTTGTTAGTAGTCCATGGCCGCCACCACCTGCTGATCAAGCTGCGCTGTCAGTTGACGGAGCCTTTTCCCCAGCGGATGGGTCAGCGGCAGCAGGGATGGTATTAAGGAGACATGATGGGTCGGTAATTTTTGCGGCATACCGGTTTTTGTTCAACTGTAATGATGCATTGGAAGCCGAGCTACATGCAATAATGCAGGGTATGGCATTAGCTATTCAACATTGTAATGTGCCCATCATTGTCCAGTCAGACTCCTCGGTGGCCATTTCCTCGATGATTGGTGAAGGACTGTCAAGATCGGCGTATGGTCATCTGGTGAATGAGATTAAGCATCTCATGGTAGATAGAGAGTTTATTCCCTTAAAAATTAAGCGTGAGCAAAATAGGGTAGCAGATCGTTTGGCGTGCTATAGTCGTACGGAGTGTACTACTGTTGTATGGCTCGGGAGAGGTCCACCGTGTGTGGAGGATATTTTGCCTCTGGATTGTAACCCTATGCTTATGGAATAAAACTCTTTTACCCCCCCCCAAAAAAAAGCTATGAGTTCCTTGTGGAAGAAGTTTTAAGGTGCTACTCCCAAATAATGTGACCTACTTGTTTTCGGCAATTTAATTGCTAGTATCCGCTATTAGGTCTTAGAAGGTAAGAGGATGTCAACAACTTTATGAGGTTAATATGGGTTTTTCTCTCATTGCAAATGTTGTGTGCATTTTGTATCGCTATTTTGTAAGATAAATTGCTCTTTAATCATACATATTCAATCATGTCTTCTACTCTTTACTTCCATTTCCCTATATTTATAGATTAGCAGAGGGGAAGCTAAAAAACTTATTGAAGCTAGAATTAGGAGAAGATTCAATGAAAGAGACATTTTCAAATAGACTAAAAAATACTACAAAGAAATGCAGGTAAAAATGAGCTATTAGCAAGAAAGCGGCATCTATGGGAGGCCGAGGGAGTCACACGACCAGGCCAGGCACACCATGGGTACTTGGAGTAACCGCCTAGGGCCCACCAAGGTGCCTTGGGACTCTTCTTTTGGGGAAAGCACCCCTTCATCCTCTGGGCACGCCATATTTTATCGTGCATGATTTTACTATGCGGTTGTGGCCTCTAGAACACCCTAGATTATATCCCAAAGGGTATG